TCAGAGAAAACATACGATATTTGTCTTTTGGGGACTGGCTTATTTCACTAAGCATAATGGTCTCCAGATGCATCTATTTCGTTGTGAAAGACTGGATTTAATTCTTATTTTTGGCTGAGTAGTATTCCACCATGTATATACCACAATTTATTTATCCACTTATCAGTTGATGGGCATCTGGATTGATTACGTATCTTAGCTTCTCCTTCCTCTAATATTGTTGTTATAGTCTCCACCCTAGTTCCTTCTCATCCCTCGGGTCACAAATTAAATGCCCCTGCCTCAAGAAATTGCCTCCATCCTGTCCCATTATCCTCTTTGTAAACTTTATAGCACCTATTCTATAAATATAAATACATGTAGTTGCTTTCTTGTTCATAATCTGCCTTCTCCTCCAGACTATAAAATTTGTGAATGTGGAGACCACAATGGTTTTATTCACTTATTTTCACTGTTATTTTTTGTGACCCCAAATGTGTTTCCATGTTTTGTTATATATCTATGCTTCCTCCTTCATAAATTTCCTACTTAGATACTTCACTCATTTTTTTTCCATTGACAATGATCACAGCTCCTACTTTTTGTAAGAATCTTTCACACACTGAAACTTACAAATTTTATGGAAAGTGGAATTAAAATACTAGTTTGGTGTAAAAATTTTGAAATCCATGTATACAAAGGTTTTTCCAAAAGTTCATGGAAGATGACTATTACAAAATTTTAATTCCATTTTCACAAAAGTATTCTTGTATGATAACAATATTTTTTTATTTTTAAAAATTTATTTATTTTTCTTGATTTACTTCATTTCTAAGTACTTAATTCCTTTTAATAACATTTTGATTAAGTTATACAAGTTTCATGTATTTCATATATACAGATTTAGGAACATAGTGATACTTTCCACTCTGCCCTCGCCCATGTTCATGCTCCAACACTTCTTCTTCCTCCTTCTCACATTCGCACTCTTAATTTTTATAAATATCTACTTTCAATTTACTTAGTGATGGTAAGAATAACTCTATACTAAGTAAAAGAGTTCAACAAATAGTATGCTATGCATTATGTGTTCTCCTAGGTTTTCATCTTCTGTTTTTAACCTAGCAAAACCTATTGTCACACTGAGTCCAGATTAACATTTATCTGCATTTTCTTTTAGTTCTATTATTTTAAGATATTCTATCTTTAATCAATTTATAATTATTTTGGCATGTGGTAGCAAAGATCTAATTTTATTTTCTTTCCCAAAGACAATGTCTTGTCCTAAAACCATGCCTGATCAACTTTTCCTTTCTTCCACTGAAATGCTAGCTTTTTCTAATATCAAAATTTCATATGTACTCAGTGTTAGAGGAAAGAGTCAAGAACTCAATGCTGAGGACAGTTTTCAGTACAGAAAGTTAAACTGCTATTTTTGAGGTCGGCATTCCCTAGTGGAGTGCAGATTCTAGTCCCAGCTTCTCTGCTTCCATAAAGCTTCTTGCTAATGTGCCTGAGAAGGCAGCAGATGATGGCCCAAGTACCTGAGCACCTGCCACCCATGTAAGAGACTCAAATGGAGTTCCTAGTTCCTGGCTTCAGCCTGGCCCACGCCTAACTGTTGTGGCCATTTGGAGAGTGAACCAATAAGAGGGTGGGAAATGGGAAACTCTGTCTCTGTCTTTCTCTCTCTCTCTCTCTCTCTCTCTCTCTCTCTCTCTCTCTCTCTCCACTCTGTTTTTCAATTAAACTAATTAATCTTTTTAAAAAGTTTCAATGTTATTATTATAGCATAAATCCTGGAGCATAGGAAAGCCTGGCTCCCATTACTCATTCCTCCCCCTGGCATTCCTGATTAAGAAAACTAAAAAGAAGGGTAACCAAATGAAAATCAAAATGTCACTTCATTAATAGCTGAGTCCGTGTGTCCACCAACTCCTATTGCAGAACATTGATAACAGAAGTGAAGAACAAAGCTTTGACTTAAGGGACTAATTGAGGCTTCCTCTTTCCAGCTTAATTAAGGTAAGATGGCTACATCTGTAGTGCAGGCCTTGTCCTATCTCACATATCCAGCTCACCTAATGGCAAGCATGGAAGTAGGTAGTGCTGAGATAAAAGAAACAGTAACCTTCCCAACTAGTAACATATAGTGCAGCAAAAATACCCCCAGGATCTGAGCAATCATATTAATAAAATCTCCCTGGTAAGGAATTGGTAAGGAGAAAGGTAAAAGGTAGAAGTGTGGGACTAATGATGGAATAGTATTTCCACTATTATAATAAAGGCAGAAGATTAAGTCTGTTTCAAGGATTTTAAAATTTTCCTTCATACTGATTTTTTTCACAGTATCATGCTACTTAAACTATTGTGCCTCTATAACATGCTATACTATCAAGTTGTGCTCCTCTTTTCTCACTCATCTTTTTCAAAATTTCTTGGATGTTTTCTGGGTAGTCTTTATTTCTCTGAATGAACTTTACATGCAGTCATTCTGTTTCAGAATCCAATAGATTTGAACTGCTTTAAATTTACAAATTAGGGTAGATTATCATGTCTTAATAATGATGTTATTCAGTTTTATTCTCAGCTCAATGTTGTTGTCACTCTATTATCTCCCTGGGTGATGACATACATAATCATGATTTCAGCCATTATTTCTCGTAGTTACTGATTACTGCTAAATCTTTATAACTATCCCAGTGCTCTTCCAAGCTACAGCCCATATGTTGAACTAAGTATAACCTCCTATCCTTATGACTTTCTCATTTCCACCCAGATGTCTTACAGGTACCTCACACTCATGACATTCAAAAATAAGCTTAGTATCCCCCACATACGTTCACATTAAATAATGAAATAAAATCCATTTCCAACTTCCTGAATTTCTTCTTTCTTTTTCATCCAGGTTGATTGATTCAAAAAAATTCTAATACCCGTGGCTCTATCATCACTGTTGTCCCCAAAACATTTGCTCAGCATTAATGTCCTATTGATTCTGCCTTAATTTCTTTCAAATCCATCTAATTCTCTCCATCTTCATTTACCATCCCTTTTGTTAAACATTCTTCTGAGTAACTTCAAGGTCCATGTAGATGACTCATCCAACACTCTGGCCTGTGATTTCCTCAACTCCAGTGTCCTTCACCTCTACTTTACATCAACACTTAGCCATAGCCTTTATCTCATCACCTGATTTTTTTCTGACCCTGTGTTAAAACTAAACCACACTCATCATTTCAACTCCCACTTACCCCAATTTCTCGTTAGCCCACGTCAGTATAGCTTCTTTCCCTACCAGTTTAATCAAAATCACAACTGATTCTCCCATAGCTTTATCCAATGGGAAATTTTTCATTTTAGTTCTATGTAACCTCTCTGAAGTAGAATTCCTGGTTTTGATCCTATCAGCTTACACACTTTTTCTCACACTCACTTTCCGGTCAGTACCTTCCTTAAAAACTGGTTCTCTTTTGGGACTCATCATTATTGTTAGAAATTTGTTTGTTGAGAGAGAGAGAGAGAGAGAGAGAGAGAGCTCCCATCCACTGATTCACTCCTCAAATACCCACAATGACCCCTGGCTGGGGCTGAAGCCAGGAGCCAGGTAGTCAATAATCCAGGTTTCCCAAATAAGTGGCAGGAAGCCAGTTACTTGAGCCATGACCACTGCTTCCCAGCCTCCGCTTCACCAGGAAGCTGGAATCAGGAGCCACAGCCAGGAATTTAACTCTGGTACTCAGATATGGGACTTAGCCAGCTAACCAGCATCTTAACCACTAAGCACAGTGCTCACACTCAATCTTAAGGTTTTTACTATCTCATTTAATACACTCTTTTGACTGACTTTTTTCATTCCTAAGCCTTAAATTTCTACATAAATGTTGATGTGCCACACACATAGTTCTTCAGAGCATACCTTTCTCCTGAGCTCCAGATCTTTATCTCTCCCACATGAGTGGCAAGGTTCCAAGTACTTGAGCTGTCACCTGCAGACTCCCAGGGCGCACATTAGCAAGAAACTGGATCAGAAGAAAAGTCAGGACTCAAACCCAGGCACTCCAATATGGAATGCAGGTGTCCTAAGTGGCATCTTAACTGCTACACTAAATAACTTCCTCTACCTGCTTATCTTCTACACTCCCTTTTAGCTATCTATATGCCTCTTTCCCATCCTGCAGGTCAATGATTTTTCCAAGTGTAGCTTCTGAACAAGCAGCAAAAGCATTACCTAGAAACATGTTTGAACTAGCAAATTTTTGAGTCCCACAGCATACCTACTGAATCAGATTTTGGAAGTTGATCCCAATAATCTGTGTTATCACAAGACTTCTAAGTGATTCTTATTCATGTAAAGTTTGAAAGCAACTTATTTAAACCTCAGTTGAAATGTCATCTACTCTGGGATGACACTTAATCTAATGTTTATTCAAGCACATTAGATTAAGTACCTCCCTCTACACCTCCCTACTGCACTGTAAAAACTCCTATTTAACACTTACCACAGTACATTATATTTGCCTGTTTACTTGTCTTTATCACAACAGTACAAATTCTTTAAGTGATTGCATCCATGATGTCTAAAGTTTTTCCTATCATCTGTATGTCTCCAGTATTTATGCAATGAATTAATGGAAGAGAATGTGGCTACAAAGATGGTCACTATACATTTAATATTAGGGACTTAGTATGTTATTGGGATTAGAGCTTAGTTTGTACTAAGGTGACAAGAACTATAGTATATGTGATTGAGGTTAAGGACCAGTCTGTGGTCTGCAACAGGTTAGGAGCTCAGACTATAGCCAAGAGTATGTTATTAGAGACCTGAATCAGAATACTAGCCAAAACAAAACAACAGCCTATTGTAGGATTGAGAGAATGAGTGTTTCATAAAGACAAACTCAGGTTGTGACTTGTATTGATTATTATTCCTATTTTCAATCTTTAAGAGCAAAATATATTTAATGAGCAAGCAGAGGTGCTTCATACCTTTGGTCCCTTCAATAAATGTTCCTACTTACCAGGCTCAGCAGCTTGTGGCCAGCCACTACTAGATTCTAGCACTCCATGGGCGTGTACAGAATAGGGGCGGCTAGCATTATTCTTGAACACCACAGTCAGGACATCACCAACCTCTCCTCTGATAAGTGGACCTCATATTTAAAAAGAAGAAAAAAATCTCGTTAGTGGAATGGTGGAACAGAACTAAAGAAAGTGACATGCATGATAGCTCTATAGAATTAGATGTTTGCCCTGAGAAAGAATCTTTCTGAGACTGGAAATCATGGCTTACTCCACATGGAGATTCAGGAATGTTTAAACTGACATTGCTACCTAGCAGATAATGATGCTTCATGTTAGGATTACACCTCCAATTACTCTCGCATTTCCACCCCAATCCTCTATCTATCATAGCCAAAGGCTATAGAGAATCTGGTCTCCATGGAATTACTGATGGTAAGCAGCAGGAGTTTGGAAAATACTGCAAACTATCTGAACCAATGGAAAGGAAGACCTTTCTCTCTCTCTCTCTCACTGTCTAATTCTGCCTGTCAAAAAAAAAAAACTAAAAAAAAACTTGAATCACATGAGAATTCATGATACCCCCTTAAGTGCTGATTTTTATCATTACTTTATATAATATGACCGTACTCATAGTTACAACATAAGGAAATATTGAGAATGAGGAGGACTTCCTAATGTGGCATAGCTGCCCCAAGAGCAGCACAAGCTTCCAAAACTTAATAAGGAAGTGGAATTCCCTTACCTAAGATTCCCAAGTGCTCTTCTGTTCCAGTCCTTGGCCGAGGGACCCTGAATGTTCCATCAGTGTATTCTCTGAATACGGCTTTCTTGTATCTGGAACCCAGGAGCCCATCCTTGTTGCTTAGGAAAACGTGACCATAACTACAGAAATCCAAAGAGAGATATGAGCACCTGGCCCTCAACTCCTCATGTTCAGATTTGGGGAAGCTATGTGAGAGTCATCTTCCTTTCACAGATAGAAGAAAGGTTCCTATTCCTTATGTCAGATTCTCCAGCACACTGACTACACAACCACCATTAAATAAGATAGATTTCAGTATATGTACATGTTCCTTTTTTGCCATAATGTGAATAGGAATTTGTAATGCAATTAATATGACAGGAGCACTGGGCTAAGAACCTCTGGGACATATCTTTAACCTTAATGATGTATTAGATGGAATTAATTTAACAAAAGGACAGGATTCAAAGTGACAGAAGAGTATTAATTGCTACTGTTGGAAATAAAGGCTGGGAAAAGAGAGAGAGAAAAAATGGAATATTATAGATTTTACTTTGTGAGATGCTTTCCAGCTTACAAAGGGCCTCAGTATTCATTTCATCACTTGACATTCCCAACAGTTCTATGAAGTAGCTAGGTCCCAGAGGTTCAATTAGTGAACCATAGATGACAGAAATGATCTACAGTGACATTGTCAGCCACAAAGGGAGCCAGAACTTAGATTCAAGCCTGCTGCTCATTTCCTGCCTCTTTCTCTAGTTGTGTTTTTCACCTATACCACATCACTTTAAATATGAGTAAACCAAGGCTCAGAGAAGAGAAGCCACATTTCCTAGTTCGCAGAGCAAGTGAGAAAGATTTCAACAACCAACATAAAATGTAGAATTCGCAAAGGGCAGTGAGCAACAAAACAAAACAAATGAATAAAAAAAACCTTAGTGGAGAGGCCAGCGCTGTGGCAGAGTAGGCTAAGCCTTGGCCTGCAGTGCTAGCATCCCATGTGGGCACTGGTTCGAGTCCTGGCTGCTCCTCTTCCAATCTAGGTCTCTGTTATGGCCTGGGAAGGCAATGGAAGATGGTCCGAGTTCTTGGGCTCCTGCACCCACGTGGGAGACCCGGAAGAGGCTCCTGGCTCCTGGCTTTGGATCAGCATAGATCCAGTCATTGCAGCCATTTCTGTCTCTCTGTCTCTCCCCCTCTCTGTCAGTAACTCTACCTCTCAAATAAATAAATAAATCTTAAAAAAAAACCTTAGTTGAGACTGCTAATCTATATCTCAGTTTCCATTCTCTTCCTTTTTAACAATAAAATTACCTGAGCTGAGAATATGGTTGACTAATAAGACTGTATTTCTTTTTTTAACTTTATTTAATGAATATAAATTTCCAAAGTACGATTTATGGATTACAATGGCTTCCCCCACATACCGTCCCTCCCACCCACTACCCTCCCCTTTCCCACTCCCTCTCCCCTTCCATTCACATCAAGATTAATTTTCGATTATCTTAATATACAGAAGATCAGCTTAGTATACATTAAGTAAGGATTTCAACAGTTTGCTCTCACACAGAAACAGAAAGTGAAAAATAATAGATGATTTTTTTTAGATGATGATGAAATCAGAGCAGACCTATTGTCATGTTTAATCCCAGTGAGAGTCAAGTTGGGAGTTGATAATTTCTTTTTTTTTTTTTTACAGAGGATCAGTTTAGTATACATTAAGTAAAGATTTCAACAGTTCGCACCCCCATAGAAACACAAAGTGAAATATATTGTTTGAGTACTCGTTATAGCATTAAATCTCAATACACAGCACATTAAGGACAGAGATCCTACATGAGGAGTAAGTGCACAGTGACTCCTGTTGTTGACTTTACCAATTGACACTCCTGTCTATGGCATCAGTAGTCTCCCTATGCTCCAGTCATGAGTTTCCAAGGCTATGGAAGCCCTCTGAGTTCTCCGATTCTTATCTTGTTTAGACAAGGTCATATTCAAAGTGGAGGTTCTCTCCTCCCTTCAGAGAAAGGTACCTCCTTCTTTGAAGACCTGTTCTTTCCACTGGGATCTCACTCGCAGAGATCTTTTGCCAGAGTGTCTTGGCTTTCCATGCCTGAAATACTCTCATGGGCTTTTCAGCCAGATCCGAATGCCTTTAGGGCTGATTCTGAGGCCAGAGTGCTATTTAGGACATCTGCCATTCTATGAGTCTGCTGAGTATCTCACTTCCCATGTTGGATCACTCTCCCCTTTATTTATTCCATCGGTTAGTGTTAGCAGGTACTAGACTTGTTTATGTGCTCCCTTTGACTCTTAGTCCTTTCATTATGATCAACTGTGAACTGAAATTGATCACTTGGAATAGTGAGATGGCATTGGTACATGCCACCTTGATGGGATTGAATTGGAATCCCCTGGTATGTTTTTAACTCTACCATTTGGGGCAAGTCAGCTTGAGCATGTCCCAAATTATACATCTCTTCCCTCTCTTATTCCCACTCTTTAAGACTGTATTTCTAAGATGCTCTTTCAGCTGTATACAGCCATATGAATAAGATCAGGACAATGCGGTATGAGTAAAAGTGATGCAGACAACTTCCATGCCATCTCCTTACAGACATTACTGCTTACACTGGGCTTCTTTTTCCCTTTTTGATATCTGAAAATGGCTACAACTAGAATAGATAACGTGCTCCCAGAGATGAAAGAAAGAGTGTTGTGGGTAACATAGTTCACCTACCAGCCCTGGTTTATTCATACCTCTACTACCAGGTGAACAAGAAATAGAGTTTTATCTTATTTAAACCACTGTGGATTGGACATTTTCTGTTTAGGCTGTCCCTTATGACTACAATGTCATTTTTTCAATGGATAGATGGGCTTAAAGCATTTAGTCCCTTGCGTAAATTCTCTTGAAATTTAAGGGAGGCAAACATTATAAGGATGCGAGAAGGTCTTTAACCTTAGCCTCACCTTATATCAATGAAGAAGTAGTTGGTTTAAATTCCAAAGATCTTCAGTCTAGTCTCTGCACTCAAATCTGTTATCAGAGGTGAGAGCTGTAGCATAGTAGGTTAGGCATCTGCCTGCAGTGCCTGCATCCCATATGGGTGCCGGTTCGAGACCTGGCTGCTCCTCTTCTGATCCAGCTCTCTGCTATGGCCTGGGAAAGCAGTGAAAGATGGCCCAAGTCCTTGGGCCCCTGCACCCACTTGGGAGACCTGGAAGAAGCTCCTGGCTCCTGGCTTCGGATCCGCCAATTCCAGCCATTATGGCCATTTGGGGAGTGAACCAGCAGATGGAAGACCTCTCTGCCTCTCTGTAACTCTGCCTTTCATAAATAAATAAATAAAAGCTTACTTTAAAAAAATCTGTTATCCTATTACATGACTTTGAACAAATACTTCCTTATGTCAGAGTTTCAGCATCTTCATCTGTAAAATCATTCTTTGAAAGTGTGATACACTCTTTTATAAACTCTTACCTCTCATTTTCAGACTGGTTGTGCCATTCCAGTTCCCAGCTTCTGTCAGGGCAATAATCCCACTCCACCTCCTCTGCCATAATGTAGTAGATTCTTGCAGCTTGGTAGCGTTGGCGAGGCTTGGATTGGTGGCCAGGACACTGGGAGACATTATAGATTGCCATCATCCCTGATTCTCGATGGTTGGCTGCCTGGCAGTAAATCTCAAATATTCCTAAAGGAAGATCAGAAAGTAAAATCTGACTCATAATACCTCTGGGCAGTGCCTGGAAATTCCTATATCTTCCCAGTATACTGTTTACAGCAAGTAGTCAACAGATAAAGTTCTTTTACACTTCAAATAAGAGAACATTAAATATTCATCGAGAATAATGAGCACAGGGGTTAAGAGTTATACATGACAATAGGTCTGATCTGATTTCATCATCATTTAAAAAAATCATCTATTATTTTTCACTTTATGTTTCTGTGTGGGAGCAAACTGTTGAAATACTTACTTAAGGTATACTAAGCTGATCTTCTGTATATTAAGATAATCGAAAATGAATCTTGATGTGAACGGAAGGGGAGAGGGAGTGGGAAAGGGGAGGGTTGTGGGTGGGAGGGACGGTATGGGGGGGGGAGCCATTGTAACACATGAGTCGTACTTTGGAAATTTATATTCATTAAATAAAAGATAAAAAAAAAAGGCTTCCATAGCCTTAGCAACTCATGACTAGAGCCTCAGGTGATTACTGACATCATAAACAAGCATGTCAAATTGTTAAGTCAACAACAGGAGTCACTGTGTGCTTACTCCTCACGTAGGATCTTTGTCCTTAATGTGTTGTTTAATGTGAATTAATGCTATAACTAGTACTGAAACAGTATTTTATACTTTATGTTCTGTGTGGGTGCAAAATGATGAAATCTTTACTTAATATATACTAAATTGATCTTCTGTATATAAAGATAAAAAAAAAAGAGTTATACTGTCAGGGCTGGCGCTGTGGCGTAGAAGGTAAAAGCTGCCACCTGCAGTGTCGGTATCCCATTTGGGCACCGGTTCTAGTCCCAGCTGCAACTCTTGCAATCCAGCTCTCTGCTGTGGCCTGGGAAAGCAGTAGATGGCCCAGGTCCTTGAGTCCCTGCACCTGTGTGGGAGACCTGGAAGAGGCTCCTGGCTCCTGGCTTCAGATCGGCACAGCTCTGGCTGTTGCAGCCAATTGGGGAGTGAACCAGGAGATGGAAGATTCCCCCTCCCCCTCCCCCTCCCCTCCCTCTCTGTGTAACTCTGACTTTCAAATAAACAAATAAATCTCAAATTAAAATTAAATCATTTAAAATTAACTCTGCTACTCAGATAACCAACTCTTCCCTGTTTGGCCGGGATTTTCCTAGTTTTCCACTGAAAATTCCATATTCCTGGAAAATATTCAGTTCTTGGAAAACGGATAATTAGTTACACTATCACTTATTAACTCTGCACCCTTATGACAATCTCTAAATCTCTGGGTGCTTCTGTTCCGACATCAGTAGAATGAAGACCATTTCAGTTACCTAGTTTGGTTGTTTTAGAATGAAACACAATAATGTGTGTAAAGCTTGTAGCACAGTATATAGTAAATGTTCAGTAAATGAAGATATTAAATAAGTAAACGAAGCTGTAAAAGACACTAATCCAAGGAAGGAATTGACCAATTGTGCCTCTTTGTGGGCTAAAGTAGATTAACAAGAAAGAACTTCCTGATCAGGGGCATGTTTATACCAAGGTCTTCCTTCCCTGTTTTTTTTTTTTTAAATGAATGTTCAGATATCATTCTTAAATCTCTGTGTTGTGGGGCAGCGTGAATGTAATCTTAAGTTTGGGTTTCTATGCCAAGGAAATTCATGCACAGAGAATACTGATCAAGAGGAGCTAATTTTCATACAACTTACTGTCATTGTTCCCTTATATTGGTATCTGCTGCCTGTTCCATTACTACAAACTTCATCCTAATTTTCAGTCTTCTATGAGAAAGCCCCAAACCCAGTTCCACACCACAGACATTATTCCAAATTCAAGTAGCACTCCAATTAAATCTATATCTGAAAGCCCTTATCACATATGAGGGGGCCTTCAAAAAGTTCAAGGAAAATGGATTTTAGGAAAAAACTATAAATGGAATTAGTAATTGAAGTTCCCTCATATCTCATTGTTATCCTCTTTCTGGAATGTATCTGCCTACCCTACTCCCAAGTATTTGTCAGAGCTCATTCATTTCCCAACTTCAGTTCATATTTTATTTCTTCCAAAAAGCCCTCTCTAACTTCTCTGGCCCAAGTTGACTCAATATTCTTGGCCTCCCTATTCCTAATGCATTTTACACCTACACCAGTCAGTTAAGGACTAACTAGTGCTCTGCTTTTTAAAAATAATCCCTTAGGGGCTGGCACTGTGGCGTAGTGGATAAAACTGCTGTCTGCAGCGCTGGCATCCCTTATGGGTGCTGATTAATTCCCTGCTGCTCCACTTCCGATCCAGCTCCCTGCTAATGCACCTGAGAAAGCAGTAGAAGATGGCCCGAGTCCATGGTCCAAATCCTTGGACACTCACATGGGAGATCTGGAAGAAGATCCTGGATCTTGGCTTCAGATCTGCCCAGCTCCAACTATTGGGTCCATTGGGGGAGTGAACCAGCGGATGGAAGATCTCTCTCTCTCTCTCTCTCTCTCTTTCTCTGTAACTCTGCCTTTCAAATAAATAAATAAATCTGTTTTAAAAATCCCTTATACTTGTTTATAGACATCTTGAAATAAGGAATCCATACTTTTCTCTCCAGATCTTATTTCCCAATTCTTTTCTCTTACCTTCTCATCTATTCCATTAGTAAATTACATTATAGCTATCCTTTCATTTCTACCACTACTTGGCTAGTTCAAGCTGCTATCCCCTCTTACCTGGAAAACTGTAATGGACTACATTATCTGCATATAATCCATGGATCTCTTCAACAAATATAATCCAAAGCATATTGCTCATTTGCTTTTTTTAAAGATTTATTTTTTATTTATTTGAAAAGCAGAGTGGTGAGAGAGAGAGATTGTCCATCCACTGTCTCACTCCCCAAATGGCCACAATGGCTGGAGTTGTTCTAGGCCAAAGCCAGGAGCCCAGAGCTTCTTCTGGATCTTCCATGTGGGTACAAGGACTCAAGCACTTGGGTCATCTTTTTCTGAGGCACATTAGCAAGAAGATATATCAGAAGTGGAGAGAGGGAGAGGCAGGTGGGATGGGAGTGGGGTGGGGTGGGGTGGGTAGGGGGAAAGAACCACTGTATTCCTAAAGTTTTATCTATGAAAAAATGTATTCATTAAATAAAAACTAAAAATAGAAGTGGACCAGCCAGGTCTCAAACCAGCACCTATGTGGGATCCCAGTGTCCTAGGTGGTAGCTTAACCTGCTATACCACAACACCAGCCCCACTACTTTGCTTTAAATATTCCACTCATACTTAGAATAAATCTGAATTCCTAACTGTGGTCCATAAGTCTCTACATAATATGACCCTTCTCAAGTTTTATCACCTTGTATCATGTCAGTCCTCTTCTAGATCCCTATACTCCAACCACATTCACTTTCTTTCTGAGCCTTGAATAAACCACACTTGATTCACCTTAGATAATTGACATTTGATGATCCCACACCCTCTAATGTTTGGTTCAGCAACTCATATACCTCCATTTTCCTCATTATTTAGGAATTATTTTAAATGACATACTTTCAAAGAGGCCTTCCTTGAACATACTTTCTAAAGTAATTTCTCCACCCTTTTTTTTCAAATCACTATATTTTATTTCCTTCATGTGATGTATTATTGTCTGAAATTATTCTACTTAAGTTTTTATTGAGGCTATCCCCTGAGAGCAAAGACCATTTCTGTCTTGTGTATCTCTCCACCCTATTCTTAGGAAACTGAGATATGCAATAAATATGAGAGTACTTCAAAAAAATTGGATAAATGTAGTATTAAATAAGTTTATTTTGGTATAAAAATTTTGAAATTCATAAATTTTTCATAATATAAATTTCCATGAAGTTTTTGAAGAATATGCACAGATTTCAAAACTTTCTGCACCAAAATAAACTTATCTTATGATTCCACTTTCCCAGAAACTTTTAGAAGAACTCTTTTATGTATTGAGTGAATTGTGTGTACAAAACAGTTATTGTATATACCATTCAAAAGTCTGAGTTAGGATCTGGAGTGAAAAAAAGTATGAAATCACCTGAGGAGACAAAACAGGTGGAAGACACTCTGAGAGAGATACATGTGACCTTAAGGTAGTCATATCATCTGAATTTTCTCATATGGACATTGTTGTCCAAGCTACCTCTTTGTTTAAACTCTTTTGACCTTGGCTTATGAATCTCCTGTCGCTCCCCCTCTTCATGGAGGAACGACACTAAACCCTGCCTAGGCTTCACATCCGAGTCACGGCACCATTATGTCGCTCCCCCTCTTCGTGGAGGAACGACACAGGACCCTGCGCTGTTCTTTTGTCTGCTCGGCCCTCCCCGGGTTTGCTGCTGGTTCTTCCCGGGTTGGCTACCGACCCTTCCACCTCCGTGGAAGGGCGGTTCCCCCTGCCACTTTCCCCACTTCCGCGGGGGAGCGGCACACCGCCGGCCGGCTCTCTCGGGGGCTGCTCAGATGTTCCTCAGGTGTTCCTGGTGCATGTTGTCTCTCTCCTCCTTTATAGTCCTCTTCCACCAATCCCAACTCTGCTACCCACACACCGAGCACACTGCTCTCCTCCAATCAGGAGCAAGATCAGCTCCTGCAGCTCAGTCAATCAAATTGGCGAGAGGCAGCTGTGTAGAAGCTGTTTACTCCCTTCTCAGCGCCATATTGTGGGAGAGCAGATGCATAGAATAAGTCTTAATTCGAGTAACAGTCTAGTCCGAGTTGCTCCCCACAATCTCCTCCTATCTTTTTAAGCAATTCTTTACTATTTCTTTACTCCTTCCTACCTCTTAAATACTAATTTTGGCCCCACATTTTCTTTCCTATCATTCTACATGCTACTGGGCTTCCATTATGAGAATACCCAAAACTCCCTCTCTGGCCCAGGATTCTCCTCCAGGCTTGAGATTTCTACCCACAAATTCCTTCTGTGAAAGCACCATCACTAGATATCACCAAACGTGTTTAGCTTAACATGTTCCCCAATTAATACATTTTATCCAAACC